TCAGATGCCCTACGTGCTGAGGAGGAGCTGGAGATGCAAGATCAGACGCCATCATCCACAGGCCTGCCTTCCATGGTCTTTGCAAACATACCACAGTCCAGAGCCCTCAGGGAAGTCCATCCTGTAACTCCTCAGACATCTCCCCACTAAGTCCAGCAGGTGAGGGGGTCTGAGGTTTCCTCCCTGTGGGACTCTGCACCTCCCCCTTCAAATAGCTGCTTACCCTCACGTTATTCCTTCACCGGCTCCAGGTTCTCCAGCCAGGACCTATGAACCTGAGCCTAAATCTCCAGGATGCAGATTGGTTTCAGCTATATTTCAGCCCTGGGAGGGATCCTGCACCAGGGATTGGGAGGCGAATAGGTAAAACACTCTCCCTGGCCACCTCTCTGGATACAGGATACCTCCCAGGGGTAATGAGACACACCTGGAGGGTGGATACACCTCAGGCAGGAGGAGCTGCCCAGTCCTTGGGCTCCCACTTTCCGCCTAGTCCTGGGTGTGACCATGACCCACCCTCCTGGGAGGGCCAGATCCTCCCCACTTAAGCACACGCACATCTCGCTCACACAGGCATAAACACAGGGTTGCAGTGCTGGCCAGGGGGAGTGACAGTGGTGGCTTTGCCTGACCAGTCCCAGGGCCACCCTGGGTATCTCTGAGGCACTGCTGGCTACTGGCCTTCCAAGTCTACACAGGTTATGATGTGTTTAAGGAAAGGCTGACACGGGTTTTGGTGGCCTTTGCTGGGCCACTGCCTGGGGACCTGAGCACACAACAAAACATGTTGACAGCTCCAGGGTCTCTAGGCCAGTGATTGAGGTCGGGTTTGTGTCCAGAATGTGGTTGCCTGGTTGCCAGGGTTCTGAGTTCTGTGGGTGACCATCCCAGAGAGGTGAGGCTCCTTACCTGGATTTTATCCTCAGACAAAACCTCCCACAAGGGTGCTTGGACTGCTTCCCCCTTCATCCCAGGTGCAGTCCACATCAGTGACACCAGCACAGCCCCCCATCCCTGGGATGGCCAGTGCAGCAAGGCCCCCAGTTGGAGATACAGGGAGCTGGCTGCAGAGCTGGCCCTTCCTTCCCATGGAGGAAACCCTGGAGCAGTTTGTGCCTCCAGACTCCTGTCTCCCATGGGCCCCATGGGGCTTTCTAGTGCCTCCCCTTAGGGAGGTCATTGGGGGTGTGCCCACTCCTCCCTGCTATCCCTGGAGGGGAGGCCAGGGTGCTCGGGGGCCTCAGGTTCATACTGACTTGGAGGGCCCCATGCAGGGGAGGTCACCTGCACACACTTCACACAGGCCTGACTTCCCTGCTGCAGTCAGTCTCCTTGTCTGTGTGTCTGTCCTCTGGGAGGGTGGGAACCAACTGATCTCAAGCCTGCTCCCTTCTGGCTGCAACCTGGAGGGTCTGTCTAGGCCTGAATCATGTCTCGAGACCAACAACAGTGCATGTGTGATGGCCCAGTGAGGTCTCAGAGCTCCCACTTTGTTCACAGGACATAGTGACCCTGCTCTGGAAGGGGCTGGACTTGGGACTGGGTTCTAAATGAGACAGTAACATGCTTTCCACCCCCTCTCACACAGAGGTCTATGGGCAACTCAGGATTTCCCACACACACATTTCTCTACCTAATCTTCTGACTGCTCACCAATTTTTGGATCACAAACGAGCTTCTGTACACAGAAGGCAAGGAAAAATTTGAAAACAATCTGACAACAGCTCAGTAAGCGGCAGTTTTAATAAACAAGAGGACCTACAACAATTGTCTAGGATAACCACGGGAAAAGTAGAACTCTGTGTCTAGCAGTCAAAATCTTAAATTTATTTAAATGCCTCCGTCAGGGCTTCCCTGGTGGCGCAGGGTGAGCTGTGCAGCCTCTGCTGTGTGGATTCAATCCACACTGGGAGATTCCCATATGGCAGGGCAGACCTCTCCTGTCTCACTCTCTCCTCCCCTCAGCAGTGTTTTCAGTCCATTTGCCTGTTCTGATCCCCAATTTGTCTCTGGTGAATCCTCTCACTCTCCCGTGACTCTGCCCTATAGCCCAGTTCTATGCATAAATAAATAAATTTTCAAAAAAAATTATAAATAAAAAATGCCTCCATCTGGTTCAGTTACATATGCAGTCAGGATGGTCTCCACAGCACAGGATTACCTCAAGACAGTGTCAGGTGGCAATTTCTACTGCTGAGAAGGCAAGTGAATTGCACATTTCAAGGAAATGTAGGGATTTTGGAAAATCCTAGGCCTCCACCCTCCACCCAATCAAAGCAAAATTGCAGGCCTGTTCACACCCTCTCTGCCTGGGAGGTCACTGTGGTCCAGTTGTACTGTGTCAGGCCCAAGTCTTGTAAATAAGAAAGCTGTGCTTTTTCAGTTTCTTGATACCTATTGGCGAAGGGCATTTTGCAATCTTAACAAGGACCAGCCAGCCACAGCATCAGTCATCGATTGGCTGAGACTGACACAAAACACATAGTTTATTTATTTCTTGAAGAGCATTTGGTTTAGTTTTGGATTATTGCAAATAAAGCTGCAATGAAACATAAATGCCCTGAAATATGATTATTGAGTCATGTGGCAAGTATTTGTTCATTTTTTTAAGAAACTGCTTCTCACAGTGCATGAAAGATCCAGTTTCTCTGCATTGGCCTCAGTATTTTGCACATCGGTATTTTATATTTTGACTGTTTTATACGTGTGTGCTAGTATTTATAGAAATGTGATGTATCTGCATGTTCTTTTTTTTTTTTTTTTTTTTGGCACAGAAAAGCAGGGATGTAGGCCAGAGGTGCAGGAGGTGAGACAGTTCACCAGAGACAGAGTAGGGAGCAGAACAGGTGGATTTACTGAAATACACTGCTGAGGGGAGCAGTGAGCGAGACAGAAGAGGTCTATGTTATATGTGGGTTAGTTCCCTGGCCAGGGATAGAAGTCAGGTTGTAGCAGTAGTAGTGGTGATAGTGCTGAGACTTAACCCCTACGCCACCAGGGAGACCTCTATCAGCATGTTCTTAATTTGTATTTCCTTACTGGGTAATGATGTTGAACATCATACAGAATGCATATTGCCATCAGGATATTTTTTTTTTGATAAAATGTCTCCTCAAGTGTTTTGCCTAAAATTAGATACATTTTTAGTGCAGAATTTTGAGAGTTGGTCTATATTCTAAATACATGTCCTTTGTGACATTTGGGAGCGTGCAAGTATTTTCTCTCTGTGTACTTTATCATTTCTGTCTCTTAACAGGATATTTTGCCCAACAAAATTTATAAATTTTATAAAGTTTGTAAATTTGGCATTGTTGTATTTCTTTTATGAATCAAGTTTTTGGTATCATGTCTAAGAATGCTTCACTAAGTCATAGGTCCCAAAGATTTCCTCCTCTAAAATTTGTGTATTTTGGGGCCTCCTCCCCTGGTGGAACAGCATTTGAGCGCTGGGCTGCGAAGCTGCCTGCATCCTCTGCAGTGCCGGTTCAATCCCCAGCTGCCTGCGAGGGTCCCACATGGCGTGAGACCTTTCCTGCCGAGCCCGCTGCACCCTTCAGCAGTGTACCCCTCTAGTCTGCCTGTTCTGTTCCCCACTCTGGCTCTGGTGAATTCTCTCACCCTCCCACACTTCTGACTGTACGCAGTGCTTGTATAAATAAATAAATCTTAAAAAAAAAAAAACTCTCCTTATAAAAATAAATAAATATGTATATTTTGCACTTAAATTTACAATCTATTTTGAGTGAATTTTGGCATAAAGTGTGAGGATTGATCTATTTTATTTCTTTTATTTCTATGCTTTATTTTTCACTTATTTGTCTTTTTTGCTTATGGATAGCCATTTGCTCCAGCACCACTGTTTGAAAAGACTATTTATTCTCCATCCAATTGCTTTGCACCTTTGTCAAAATTAAGAGGTGTTGATCTCCTTCTCAATTCTCTAGCCTGTTCCATCAATGTGTCCATCTCTCCATAACACCAATCAGTGTTGATTACTACAGCTATATAAAAGTATTACATTTAGCTAGAGTGATTCCTCAACTTTATTTTTATCAAATTTACTTTAATGATGCAAATATCACCCCTAGATTATTTCAGTCACTCTGTATGAGAGCTAATTTGGGGCAATTTCTCTCCATTTCAACTGTTTTAATCCTCAGCATGTCCCTTGTGACAAAAGAACATACCTTTGTACAGAGAGTACTTTTTTTTATTATTCTAGGCATCTGCAAAGTGAGGATTTTAGGGAGCACAACATCAGCGGCTCCTTGGCATCATCCATGAAAAAAATTTCATGAAGCACCAGAATAAAGCCAGCAACAAAGTTTACTGGGAAGCCATAAAACAGAACACTGTGAGTGGAGGTTAAGCAGTCTCAGAAAACAGGAAAGCTGCCCTGAGCAGTAAAGCAATAAGGTTTTTAAAGTTTTTTCATTTCTTAATTACACATACCTTGCTCCCATTACTCCCCCAGATACTCAGACTAAATGGGACTACCACTCCCTCCCACTTTTCAAGACTCTTCCCAGGTTTCCTAGACCCAGTAGAACTTTGCTTATCTTTGAAATGAAGCAATAGCTCCAGCTGGACTGCAGGGTGGCAGAAATACAGTTGTGTTCCTCTGGGGGAATGTGTGAGAGCCCATTTCTATCTTGAATAGGTGGTAGGGGTTAGTCTAGTGAGGGTGATCCCTTAATCTGTAGGACTTCACCTATCTCCCAGATTGATAGTGTTAAAATGAAGCTGAACTGTAAGACATCCAGGTGGTGCCAGAGAGTTGCTTGGTGATGTGAAAAAACTCCCACATGTTACAAATGGATCTCAGAATCTTTAATATCTACCTACAGAAAATCCACAGAAGCAAGGAAATCCCCCTGATTCACATGTGGTCAAAATTCAGGAATATAAATGTAAACTATTACTGTCTTATGACGTAATCCTCCATTTTTCTCTACTTCTTGCCCTTGTAGCTGCATAAAGCAGATGATTTCATGTTTAGCTGAGGAAAATAATGGAACATAAAAAAATACTGGCAGAAGGTGAGTTCATTTGCATAAGAGGTCATAGGGTTCAATACAAAAGGACCTGGGCAAGAATGAAAATGAGATATTTCAACCAATAATATTGGGACTTCCAGGTCAAGGGCAGGGCTGAGGGTGGACATTTTCTGCGAGGTCACTGAACCAGGAGCAGACCAGATCCTGAGAAGGGACTTTCTCTGCGGAATAAAAGCCAGCAGGAGGACTTTACATGCTGCAAAAAAGCTGGGGCAGAGGCTGTACCTTGAGGGTCACTACCTGGGCATCAGCTCAGCAGTCCTGCAAAAGAAAGGAGAGTCTTGTTTCCAGACCTACTTACAAATAGCTTCCTTTCCTCTCTCATGGCCTCATGTTTTATAACACTGCAGTAAGAAAGAGGAAATTCTTATGTCACCTTGAACCAAAGTTATTTTGCAGTGCAGGCTTAATTAAGTAAATGGCAAGAAGAAACTTGAGTGTAAACTGTCAGGTCAGTAGTTAGAGCCCCAGTCTTTCCCATTATTTCTGTCTTGTCACTCTCTACCATCAATTCTATGGAAATTGAATATGTCTCTAAAAGGGGATTAAAGAACATTACCTGTTGGCTGAAGTCCAGAGTGTCCTGGGAATGAGAAGGGATGTTATATACTTAAAAGAATTAAAAACAAGTCTGTCCCCACATACAATGCTCCCAGGCCCTGACCAACAACCTGAGATTTTTCTGACATTACAACCGGCATCACATAATGCCAGGCCAGAAAAAAGAGTAAGGGACCCATGATGAGAGCAAGTGACCGATGATGTGCCTATATAAATTCACTATATTTTCATCACCTTAGTAATACTTCAGCAAATTTGTATTTGTCCCACGATCTCACCTTGAGGTCTCTGTGAATGCTAATCCTTTTCCTGCTTCTATAGGTCATAATAACCTCTTATTGTTTAAACATGCTAATCATGACTTGCTGATTTCTGAAATTTCAGGACATTTGAGGTCAGTTGAGGAAAAACAGGCCTGCTAGTGTACAGAAAATTAAACTGTGTGAAGTCATCCTTTTCTCCCACAAAACTCAAAGAGGACTCTCAGCTATGACTAGGCTCCTTACCTTTGGGATTCCTGAAGTGGATGAACAGCCCCACCCCAAGGAAGAGCAGACCCAGAACAAAGCCCCCAAATCCACTCAGCATCTTGCTCCGTGCAGATTCAGACCGTGCCCCTGAGAAAAGAAGCCAGTTTTAGTGATGTTTGCCCCATATCCAATTTCCTAATATAGTCTGAGATTGAGAGCTCTGAGAAAAGGTGAACACTGCCTTCAAAGAACTAGAATAAATGAACTTTTCTGGAAAAGAGATTTAAAAACCACCCTGCATAGACACAAGTTTCAATCATTGAACTCATTTGACTATCACAGTCTTTATGTAGGCCAGTACTTCAACATCTGATGAATGAGGAACATGAGACCCAATAAGTTGAGTAGCTTGTTAAGGGGGACAGATCCAATAAAAGACTATTCAAATTCCCTTATATTAGGAGTGTCTCTATATTGTAAAGAGGCTTCTCTTCTCAGATCACAAAGAACAACCCAGAAGCAATTGTTCTAGAAGTACAGGTCCAGCTAAGGCAAGGAGATTAGTGTCCAGAGCAAAGAGGTGACCAGGATCTGTGACATCATGGGAATGCTCAAAACAAGGATAAACTTTTCTGCTTGTCAGCTTAATTGCCTCCAGTAGGAGGATAGGTATTGGCAGAAACTATCACAGGGCTATACCCAATAACCCATGCTGAAGGAGAAGAGAAGATAGAATAAATGAAAATATGGTGTGGGCACAGGACAAACCTGAGACTTAGGGATAAGCCATGTCCCCTCCAAGGTGGATAAAGAATTTTTGAGATCAAAAAGATTCTCACTCCACTCCACTGTGATAGGGCTCATCAGGCTTGCGTGCTCCATGTGGCAGGTGTAGACCTCTCCACTCTGAGAAACTGTTTCAAGCATCACCAGGGTCTGGAAGGTCCAGTCTCCATTCTGGATCAGACCTGTGGAAACGACCCCAGCCATCTCCTCCTGGCCATTCCGGAGCCACCTGACTTCAATGTGGCCTGGATAGAACCCATTCACAGAGCAGACCAGGAGGTTGTGGTGCTGCATGGACGGGGTCTTTGAAGGATACACAGTCACTTTGGGCTCAACTAGGAGAGAAATGAAGAGGAAATAAGTGATAATGATGAAATAAGAGGCCTTGGCTGGTGCCTTTCTGCCCCCAGGCACTAGTCTCAGGTCCTGTCTCAGGGTCTCAGGCAGACCTCCCTCAAAGCTGACCATATGGTCCAACAGGAATTAATGCCAAGAGGCTTAACTATAACCTTAGAGCAGGGACCCATTATAGTTGAGAGATGCTGAGGAAATCTGTAGGTTTTTCATAGCATGAGACAGTAATTCATTGTTGAATTTGAGTGTTTATAAACTATTGTAAAGCATTGGGTGCATTAATTAATAGCATTATTTTTGTATCCAGGCTACCTGAGTTCAAATCCAAGTTCTGTCTCTTACTGATTGATCCTGGGTGAGTTTTTAAATTCTTCTGTGCCTCAGTTTTCTTCTTTATGAAGGGTAGTACAAAAACGAACTCAGGGTTAGTATGTATAAATTCTTAAGATTATATGAGAATTATGTGGACTTAAAATATGAAAAACTTAGGCTGGAGCTCAGTCTTCTATATATGTTAACTATTTACTGTCTTTGCTAAGTGGAGAGAAAAATATAATTTAAGGCAGTGTGATGAGCTGAGAAAAAAGGATGTGGACTGTGAAATCTTGGGAATGCTACAAACTTTACAATGCCATAGAAATGGTTTTATCTTGGAAAGCTTTACTAGACAATAGTGAGTGTCATACTCTATGAGTTGAATGCCAAGAACAACATGAATCCGTCATCCTGAAAGGATGATGGTAATCACTACTGGCAAGAGTATAGAGAAAAAGGAACACTCAGCCACTATTGGTGAGGATATAAATTGTTGCAGCCTCTATGGGAAATGGTATGGACATTCCTCAAATAATTAAAACTGAACTATCACAAGACACAAAAATACCACTGGTAGGTATTTAGCCAAGGAATATGAAAATAATATAAAAGATTTATGCACTCTTATGATCATAGCAGCATTATCCACCATAGCCAAGATAGAGAATCAACCTAAATGCCCTTTGACAGACAACTGGTTAAGGAAATTGTGGGAAATATATTTAATGGATTACTCAGCTATTTAAAAAATGAAATAGTGCCTTTTGGGACAAAATTGATAGTTCATTAGGTGATTATGCTAAGTGAAATAAGTCAGAAAGTGAAAGGCAATTACTGATGGCTTCTCTCATCTGTAGAATATAAATAAAGAAAACAGACTGGAAAAACACAACACAAGTAACTGTCAGACTCTGTGAAAACTATGGGAGGGAGGAAGGAGGATGCAGAGGGGTAAGCTGATGGTGTATTGGCCCTGGTGTACTGCCCTGCAAATGGCAAATAAACAAAAAAAAAGATGAAAAAACTAAAATATTATGATACATTCTACAGATCAACATCAATCCTTTGCAAAACAATCATCTCTGTTATTGGAATTGTGACAGTTTTGCAACTGTTTCTCTTTTTAAACTGACATTTGAGTCAGGGTAGGGTCTGTGTGTGATTAGTGTTCAAGACAATCCCTCGCACTACCAGGCTTAAAAATATTATTTTGAGGGGGTGGAGCAACATGGCGGCGAGGAGACGCTGCGAGTAAGATCTCCCATTAAAAAAAGTTAATAGGGAGGAAAAGCGGCAGGTCCCAGTAAGAACTGGGACACGGAAGATAAACGGACGACTCTAGCAAACTGCCCGAAGAAGAAAGTGGCCATAAAAGAGGACCAGAAGGGAGGGAAGCGCAGAACCCTGCTCCCCTCCCCCGCCCACAGAGTCGGCACTCTCCGCCCGCAGAGAGGAGGGAAACAACAAACCAAAACGGCCAACAAGAAAAACGGACACAGCAAGTGGGACTGTGAGTGGAAAGGAACTATTTCAGCCACCACACCCCGTGAACGGGAGCTGAGGCGAACCCTGCAGGATCCACCGGTGAGCGAACGGCTCCAGGCGCCATTAGAGAAGAACAAAGACCCCGGGAGACGCGCACACAGCCCGGGCTGCTGGTAAGCTTGCGCCAAAAGTGGCGCGCTCGGCGCGCTTGAAAAGCAAGTGCAGACCAGGATCGCGGCTGCCCAGGTCCCCGCGCCTGCGACCTAGGCTTGGGAGATGACCTAGGCTTGCCGGGAGACGCTCGGAGGTCCTCACTGAGGTGAAGGTCCCTCCCTGAGTAAGCAGGAACCAGGCGCCCAGGCAGGGGAGCGGTGCAAAAGGCACCATTCCCGCGCCACTGAACTGGGCTACAGCCCGCGTCCTGGAACTGAGGGCTTTGGAACTGAGACCCGGGGCACGAAATTAGGGGCGTGGGTTCCCCACGACAGTAGGGCACAAGGCAGACACAGCACCCCAAAGCCGTTGAGGTGTACCCTACCATCCCCGCTCTGCTCCCTGTCCCACGGGGTGGAAAATCAGCTCCCCAAGGGCTCTAGGAGAGATCTCTGGCGCCACCTAGCGACTTGAAGCCAGCACAGCTTCCTGAAGGAGCTAGTGGCCAGCTGGGGGGTTAGCCCACACCCGGCCCCTTCCGAACAAGTAGTCTGAGCCCACAGGGAGAGCTAGCACCCACAGCCAGGGCAGACCAGGCACGCAGAAGAGTGTGCCTGACACCGTACGCGCAGGGAGTGTGTCCCACATCACCATTTTAGAACAGGGACATTTCTTCAGTAAAGACTACCTGCAGAAGGCTTCCTCAGGAGCCAGAGGTGAGCGGGGGAAGTTCGCCCACGCCAGACCCCCTCTGGCCTGCAGTCCAAGCCCAGAGGGGGAGCAGGAACCCACCGCCGGGGCAGACCAGGCGCACAGTGGAGTGTGTCCCCACATCGACATTTTAGGACAGGGACCTTTCTCCAATAAAGACTGCTTGAAACTGACAGATGACTCTTGGAGGAACCAGAGGGGAGGAGAAAGCTCACCCAAGATGCCGGCCAGTCCCAACTACACAGTGTCCCAACGCATACGGCAAATTAGAAAACAGAGAGTAGGGAGGAGAAGAACCACACGCAACCTAGCAACTCTCCAGAGAAAAAGCACACCACAAAAAGAAAACCAGTCCTCAGATTGCAACGACAGTAACTTGGAAGAACTTCTGAGCCTTCCAGAAAGAGAATTTAAAATTGCCGTGATTAAAAAACTGACAGAAGTCATAAAGGAAAACAATGATAAGGGAAAAATAATCAACGATCAGAAGAATGAAATTGAGTCCCTAAAGAGGGAAGTAAAAGAAATGCAGGAGATCAAAGAATTAGTGGAAGAACTAAAGAATTCTGGGAAAAGCAATGAAAGCAGAATTGATGAAATGGAAGAACGAATAAGTGCTCTTGAAGACACAGAAATAAAAAGAACCAAAACAGAAAAGGAAAGAGAAGTACAAAGGAAAAAGAATGAAGAAAGACTTCGGGAACTATCTGACTCCATGAGGAAAGGAAATATAAGAGTTATAGGAATACCAGAAGGAGAGGAGAGAGATGTAGGAACAGAGAAAATATTCAAAGAGATAATTGAAGAGAACTTCCCAAATGTGAAGAAGGAGCTGAAAATTGATATACAAGAAGCAAGAAGAACACCAAACTTCCACGACGAAAGAAAAAATACAGCAAGACACATAATAGTAAAGCTCCCAAGAATCCAGGACAAGGAAAAAATAATGAAGCTGGCAAGAGGGAAGAAACAGATAACATTCAAAGGAAAGCCAATCAGGCTGACATCAGACTTCTCCGAAGAAATACTACGGGCAAGGAGAGAGTGGAGGGACATAGTCAATAGACTCCAAGAAAACAGATGCCAACCAAGAATACTCTATCCCGCAAAGCTCTCCTTCCTCTTTGAAGAAAGAATATGGACCTTCCCAGACAAAGAGAAACTCCGGAATTTCATTGCAACTAAACGACCACTCCAAAAAATACTACAAGGAGTCCTAAAGCCAGAACCTCAGAGGGACGAATAACAATGAAAGAAGGCCAAAAAAAAAAAAAAAAAAGTTATTAAAAGAATAAATAAAATCAAAGGAAAGACAAACACAATGGCAAATACAGATGTTAACATATCAATATTAACTCTAAATGTAAATGGACTAAACTCTTCAACAAAAAGACACAGAGTTGCAGCCTGGATTAAGAAACAAAACCCAACCTTTTGCTGTCTCCAGGAAACACATTTAGCTACAAAAGATAAAAATAGGCTCAAAGTTAAAGGATGGAAAACAATCCTACAAGCAAATGGACCAAAAAAGAAAGCAGGTACAGCTATACTTATATCAGATAAAACAGATTTCAAACTCAAAAAGATAAAAAGAGACCCCAATGGTCACTACATTATGATCAAGGGGACAATACTTCAAGAAGAAATAACACTCATTAACATATACGCACCAAACGAAGGAGCACCAAAAATATGAGACAACTGTTGTCCTCTCTGAAAACAGACATCAAAGAAAACACATACGTAGTGGGAGACTTCAACACACCACTATCAACAATGGATAGATCAGCAAGACAAAAAATAAGTAAAGAAACCAAAGCTCTAAATAAGGACCTAGAGCAATTGGGTTTAACAGACATCTATAGAACACTAAACCCCAAAAAAACGGAGTACACATTTTTCTCAAGCGCACACGGATCATTCTCCAGGATCGATCACATACTGGGGCACAAGACAAACATCAACAGATACACCAAGATTGAAATCATACCAACCATCTTTTCTGACCATGAAGGCATCAAACTAGAAATAAACCATAAAAAGAAGGCAAGGAACTTTCCTACCTCATGGAGATTAAAAACCACACTACTGGAAGACCACTGGACTAATGAGGAGATCAAAGAAGAAATTAAAAAATTTTTTGAATTGAACGACAAGGAGGACACCAATATCCTAAATGTATGGGATGCAGCAAAAGCAGTAATAAGAGGAAAATATATAGCAATAGAAGCTCACATCAAGAAACAAGAAAGAACTCAAAGAAACAACCTAATCTCGAAGCTCAAAGATCTAGAAAAAGAACAACAAAATACCCCAAAACCAGTAGAAGAAAAGAAATAATAAAAACCAAAGCAGAAATAAATGAAATTGAAATTAAAAAAACAATCCAAAAGATCAATGAAACCAAGAGCTGGTTCTTTGAAAAAATCAATAAAATAGACAAACCCCTAGCCAGGCTCACAAAGGAAAAAGGGAGAAAGCACAAATAAACAGGATCATCAATGAAAGAGGAGAAATCACAACGGACACAGCAGAAATCAAAAGAATAATCAGTAACTACTATGAACAGTTATATGGAAACAAGTTTAACAATCTAGAGGAGATGGACAAATTCCTACAACTCTACAATCACCCAAAGCTAGATAAAGAAGAAATAGAACACCTAAACAGACCAATTACAATTAGCGAAATTGAAATGGTAATCAAAAACCTCCCCAAAAACAAAAGCCCAGGACCTGATGGATTTACAAATGAATTCTACCAAACATTCAGAGACGAATTAGTGCCTATCCTTCACAAACTCTTCCAAAAAATTGAGAAGGAAGGGACAATACCAAACACGTTCTATGAAGCCAACATTACACTAATACCAAAACCGAACAAGGACAACACAAAAAAGGAAAACTACAGGCCAATCTCCCTAATGAACACTGATGCAAAAATCCTCAATAAAATTTTAGCCATCAGAATCCAACAATGTATCCATAAGATAATTCACCACGACCAAGTAGGATTCATTCCAGGGGCACAAGGATGGTTTAACATCCGAAAATCAATCAACGTTATCCAACACGTCAACAAAAAGAAATATAAAAACCATATGATAATATCAATAGATGCTGAGAAAGCTTTCGACAAAGTGCAACACCCATTCATGATAAAAGCCCTTGAAATTCTTGGGATACAAGGAACATACCTCAACATCATAAAGGCCATCTATGACAAGCCAACAGCCAGTATCATTCTCAATGGTGAAAAGCTGAAAGCAATTCCATTAAGATCTGGAACAAGACAAGGATGTCCACTCTCACCACTGCTTTTCAATATAATACTGGAAGTCCTAGCCAGGGCAATAAGACAAGAGAAAGACATCCAAGGAATCCAAATAGGAAAAGAAGAAGTCAAACTATCACTATTTGCAGACGATATGATATTATACATAGAGAACCTCAAAAACTCCACAGAAAAGCTAATTCAGCTCATCAATCAGTTCAGTAAAGTGGCAGGATACAAAATCAACACGCAAAAATCAGTAGCCTTCCTATACACAAACAATAAATCTGAAGAAGAAGAAATCAAAAAAACCATCCCTTTTGTTATTGAAACAAAAAAATCAAATATTTGGGAATAAATCTAACAAAAGAGGTAAAGGACCTATACAAAGAAAACTATAAAACACTGTTAAAAGAAATAGAAGAAGACACAAAGAAATGGAGAGACATCCCCTGCTCGTGGATTGGAAGAATAAACATTATTAAAATGGCCATCCTTCCAAAAGCAATATACAGATTCAATGCTATTCCAATCAAAATTTCAATGTCATTCTTCAAAGAAATAGAACAATTATTGATGAAATTCATATGGAATCACAAAAAACCACGAATAGCCAAAGCTCTCCTGAAAAAAAAAGAAGGGAATGGAGGCATTACACTCCCAGACTTCAAACTATACTACAAAGCCATAATCATCAAAACTGCATGGTATTGGAACAAGAACAGACATACAGACCAATGGAATCGAATAGAAAATCCAGAAATAAACCACAGATTTATGGTCAACTAATCTTTGACAAAGGAGCAAAGAATATGCATTGGAGCAAAGAAAGTTTGTTCAATAAATGGTGCTGGGAAAACTGGGTCGCTACATGCAAAAGAATGAAGCTTGACCACTACCTCACACCATACACAAAAATCAACTCAAAATGGATTAAAGAACTAGACATAAGACCTGAAACCATAAAATATATAGAAGGAAATATAGGCGAAACACTACGTGATCTGCACATCAAAGACATCTTTACAGACACATCACCCAAAGCAGTGATAGTGAAGGCAAAGATAAACAGCTGGGACTACATCAAATTAAAGAGCTTCTGCACAGCAAAAGAGACAATAACAAAAACAAAGAGAAACCCCACCAACTGGGAGAACATTTTTGCACCCAACACTAATGATAAAGGACTGATCGCAAAAATCTGCAAAGAGCTGATGAGACTCAACAAAAACAAAGAAAATAATCCAGTCAAAAATGGGCAGAAGAGCTAAAAAGAAACTTCTCTGAAGAGGAAATGCAAATGGCCAACAGGCATATGAAAAAATGTTCAACATCACTTGCCATCAGGGAAATGCAAATCAAAACTACCATGAGATACCATCTTACACCAGTGAGAATGGCACATATTAAAAAAACTAGCAACAACAAATGCTGGCGAGGGTGTGGAGAAAAAGGAACTCTTCTACACTGTTGGTGGGAGTGCAAACTGGTCCAACCACTGTGGAAAGCTGTGTGGAGATTTCTGGACCTACTAAACATAGAGCTTCCATATGATCCAGCAATTCCACTCCTAGGTATTTACCCAAAGGACACAGAAACATCAATTCCAAAGAACACCTGCACCCCTATGTTTATAGCAGCACTGTTTACAATAGCTAAGCTTTGGAAACAACCCAAATGCCCAAAAATAGATGACTGGATCAAGAAGATGTGGTCCATATATACCATGGAATATTACTCAGCATTCAAAAAAGATAAACACATGCAATTTGCAGCAACATGGATGGCGCTGGAAGGGATCATGCTCAGCGAAATAAGCCAAAAAGAAAAAGAAAAATACCGGATGGTCTCACTCATAGCAGGAATCTAGAAAACTTAAATAAGGGACCAGGAAAATGAATAACTATAAGAAATTGAAAATCAAAATGAACAAAAAACTATGAACCAGAGTCACTTTTAGGGGGGCGGGGGCGGGAGGGGAGGGATTGGAGTCAGAATGGGGGGGCTGCAATTGTATGGGGAATATAACAATAAAATTTAAAAAAAATATATATATTATTTTACAAAAGGAATGAAAACCCTGAGAAAAAATAATTTTACTATATGATAATTGTAGATTTAAGATTGGTGTAAATTATGACTAGCAATTTTGCATTGTATTCCATTTAATAAAAATGTTTAAATTTCTATAATAATAAATAGAATAAAAAAATACAGATTGGACAAAATGCTGAATCACCTACAAGCAAAGTGTTAATCATTGCATTATCTATAAAATCACTGAGAAAAACACAAGGACCCCAGAGATAATAGATGATTCTTAGAGCAGTAACAGTTAACCAAAATACATGAAAAATGTTCAGGAGACTTCAAAATCAAAAAAATATAACTAAGATATATTTTTCAATGGTATTGGTCAATATTGAAAGAATATCTAAGGTGGGCATAATATGCAATAAATTGTCACAACTATAAACAAATAATATGTCACTACTTAAATACTATTAACATTGTACAAATAGTCACATCAGTATGCTAAGTAACAATTATAAACTTAAAACCCTGATTTCATAATCACCTCAACTATGTGACTACACTAAGAAAATATAAGCAAGAAAGTTAGGCCCAAAAGAAGCCTCTAAGATTAAAGGTGCATCTGAGGTCGCCCCTCTCCTCAAAAATTTGTCTGAGACTTTTTTTTTTCCTCAATGAAATGCTTATGCACACAAACACATGCCCACTAGATTCACTGGTTTCAGGATTAAGGAGGGGGTGGGACAAGCCTGAGACCAGCCTCATCAACAGTTCTGATTTCTATATATAAGCTGAAAATTTCAATCCAGACCTCTCCTCTACAAAACACTTTCTCACTCATTTTTCTATTTTCAGTTACTATAACTTAGAAATCTTTCTGTAACTATAAAAAAAAGTTCTAAATTCTTTTACATTCCTTACCTCCCTAAACCCTCACTCCAACTACAGACACTTTCACGTTCTTTTTCTATATCTCTAACCACCCACCCAATGAAGGTTTCTCCATCTCCAGCGCTTGCACTGACACCTCCATTATGTCCCACTTGACCTCTCCCACAGTGCCCACCCGAGGCCCTCTCTTCTGCACCCCCCACACCTCACCACACTCGCCTCCTCAGATCCCAGCCCCCCACATCCTCTGCTCCTCCACACCTAACAGTGCACCCCTCACTACACACTGACACCCACAACCCAACACGGACAGAGTCTCTGACACAGTCTCTCTCTCTCTCTCTCTCTCTCTCTCTCTCTCTCTCACACACACACACACACACACACACACACACACACACACACACACACACGCCGGCAGCCCATCGGCCTTGCTCACCTCGCCGCTGCACCGCGAAGCCCTCAGCAATCCCGTAGTTGTGTCTGCACAGCGTGTCCACCTCGCCCCGCTGGTGCTCCAGGATGTCCTCCTGTCGGTTCAAGAACTCGGCAATCGGCCGCCCCAGCTCCGTGACCGCGATGAACTCCCCCAAGTCGCTGTCGAAGCGCACGACCTCCTCCTGATTGTAGATGTGTCTCTCTAGAAACCGCACCCGCTGCGTCCCGTTGGAGAAATGACACTCGGATGTAGTGATGAATAAGTAATGCGCTGTGGAGCAGAAATAAGCAGGTTCCGGGGTCGCCTCCCGGAAGGAGACTGAGGAGGCTCCACCAACGAAAGGGTTGGGTTTCCTCCGGTACTGGACCCCGGGCTGGCTCCACCCACACCCCCACTACCTGTACCCCAGGGGTTCACCCTTCATCTGCTTGGCCTGGGAGGCCTCCCCTGCGGAGGAAATCCCTCCAGTGTGAGCCTCGGGATCTCACCAGTGTCCGCGCCGCTCCCGACTGCAGGAGCAGCTGGGCAAGACCCCACCTGCTCCCCACACCCCCTGCAGGCGCCCCCACAGTCTCTGCTCCCACCCCGGGGCTCCGGGGCCCCCTGAAAGAAGCCCCCTCCTCTTGTAAACACCTGGTTAGGGCTGACCTCGGCCGGGCTGGTGCTGCCCGCTGCCTGTCCAGAGGAGAGAAAAACATGCGCGTCTCCTCCCTGGCGGAGCTCAAAGTTCAGTGCAAGTGATGACAAACCCAGCACACATGTGGGGGTGAGAAATGTCCAAAGAAAAGTCTGAATTTCAAAATAGAGTAAACGTGTGATCACTCATCTTAACGTGTCAGAGAACTGGTCCCTAAGGGAGACACTCAAGATGTGACCTGGTAGTCAGTGGACGTGCGCTGGAGGGAGGGTAGGTGTGTGTACACTTGTAGGGTAAATGGTTTTTCAGGCTTTCCTGCCCTCCTGACATCAGGATGGCCCTGCCAGATGGGGCACCTGCAGTAGTTACATTGTTACAAAATGTCTTGTTTGCTTGTGTGGGCGGTGGGAGAAGTATTGAGATGGTCACCTGGAGAAGCAGAAGCAGGAAAGAAGCTGGAGAGATGCAGGAGAGAGAAGGGGACAAAGACAGCCAGAAGAGAGACAGAGAAGCCCGGAGTGAAGATTTGCCGGCACCCCTGCCTGCCATATACCTGGTTGCTGCAATGCATGTAAAGCTCAATAAAAGCCTGAGAAAGCCACCGAGGGCTCCAGGACTGTCCTTTACCCGGCTGCCTGATCATAGATAACCTGCTCAGCGCCCTTCCCGTCCTTGCAACATTGCAGGAAGAGGCGGAAGAAGGCATGTTTCAGGTAAAGGTCATACCCCGAGGAAACACTTGATAGACCTGACACCGTCAATAAACCAGAGCAAAACAGTCTGCTGAAGCAGAGTGAGGGAAAAGAAGGAAAAGATGAGGCAGAGAAATCCCAAGGTCTAGGTATTTAAAGGCTTTTAGGTGAAGGTATAGGGTTGACTTTATAGATATGTAATGGGAAACCAGTGACAAATTTAAGGAGATTAAAACCATAATCCCAATATAGACTATAATTCCTTTTCTGCATTTCCAAATCCAGAAAGTTCAGAAATCAGATTTTTAAAAATCTGACTTTTAAAAATTTATTCAGGTCCTCCCCAGTGGCGCAGCTTTTGAGCACTGAGCTGCGAAGCTGCCCGCAGCCTCTGCAGCACCGGTTCCATCCCAGGCCTCCAGCGAGGGCCCCACATGGCGGCCAGACCTCTCCTGCCGCCCGCTGCTCCCCTCAGCAGTGTACTTCGGTCCTTCTGCCTGCTCTGCTCCCCGCTCTGGCTCTGGTGAATTCTCTCACCCTCCCGGGCTTCTGACTGTACCTGGTGCTTGCATAAATAAATAAATAAATAAATCTTAAAAAAAAATATTCAGCAAATCTGACCTAATAAGGAAAAGAATCACAAGTCTCAGAGGCTTATGAGTTTTATGTGTCTGTGTTTTCAATGTATGCAAATATAACTTATATACATATATTTACATACACACATAAATTTATATTTTTATCATTATTTTATTAAACTGTGAAAGTATAAAAAAAATCACTATTTAAAAGTAAGATGAATAAATGGATGTATCTGATATCAATAGTGTCAAAAGTAGAATTAAGGCAGAAATTTGAAGTATTTTATTGAAAAATGCTTGTGGCAGTCACTACCACTGATAACTTATAAAGGAGAGTTGTTGAAAGTTAACAAAGATGTGACAATCAGGAGCTCATGAAAATTTTGAAAACATTACATAAGGCAAAAAATAAAAATGAGTATTTTGAACTTGAGTTGATTAAGTCAACAAGAAAGTAGTAAATTTGTACAACTCTCTAGTTCTTTTTTTTTTTGTCATGAAACAAGCTAAAATAAACCATGAATATCAGAATTAGAGAGTTTATATACAAAGTGTGAGTCTAGAATTTTTACAAGCAATAGTGTAAACCACTGTTTTCAACCTCAACACTGTTGACATTTTGGACCAGATAAATCTTTGTGGTTGGCAGTGAGGTGTGGAGGGAGAAGGGCTGTTCTTGATATTGGAAGATGTCTGTCCACCAGTATCCCTGGCCTCTACCCACCGTATGTCAGAAGAAACCTCCATTGTAACAACCAAAAATGACTCCAGATACTGCCAAATGTTCTAGGAGTCAGGGACTGGGGAAAGGAGTGGTGAATTGTCACTGAGTGAACTCTGCTGATCTGAAAAATCTGTAGCAAAAAAAAAAAAAAAAAATCACTAATAATTGTGCAGCAGCTAAACATTATACTAAAAGTTTTGTCAATATATCTTTTGAAAATTTTGGTCCTACATGAGGTTTGTATTTTTTAGGAATATATTAGGTTACAGCAGAGAGCTAGCTTTCCAGAGAACTAAATTGGTTGGCCTTAACAGTAAATTACCCAATCATGTCATTTATCTTTCATATCATCTCCTTTCTTAATTTCTTCGCTACTGGGCCACTAAAGACATGGACATTTTATTCCTATTCAATGTCCCAAGTAATTGATTTTCAAACTTTATCTCCTGCTCCCAGTAATACCAATAGTCATCAAATTATCAGTCTTGGCCAGATGAAGACCTCTCATTCTTATAGTCAAATCCCCTCAGAAAGAAAGAAACTAAGAAAATGGGATTTTCATAAACACATTTTACAAAAAGATGAGTGGGTTCCCAGACTTCTCCAATTAGAAATGATGGCATAGAGAAGTTCACTCTTGATATGACCCAGTTCTATTTTATAGTCACAAGTTCTCTAAGTATATTCTTGAAAGATGGGACAGTTAAAAAATTAGAATGTATGAAGTTATTCTTCAATGTGGCTTGATAATTAGCACTTTTTATATAGTTAGTTAACTAACACCAGTTAGTTCTTGTCCACGTGACCAACTTAGTGTTCCCGGATTTAGCAAATAAAAATGTAGGATGCCCACTTAATCTGTATTTTGTTTGTTTAATTCAGGCTTAATTGGATATCCTGTGTTTTATTCGGCAGCCCTAGCAGAACTCGCTAACACTATCTCAGGGCAAATAAATATTTAATACCTTCTTTCATATCTTAATGCAACTTCTTTTCATTCTTCAATATGTGCCTGTGATAACCAACACAAGGTGAAGCCACATGAAACTTTTCAAATAACAATAAATACAAAATGAGTATTTCCCCTACTTATTGAAACTAATGGCCTTTACATCCCTCCCAACCTTAATACAAACACTATTACATGAACATCAGAAACATCTCAATCAAACCACTAGTAACTAATGGTGGTTAGAAGTTCAAGCTCTAGAATCAGAAAATCTAAATTTAAACACAAGTTCCTTCCATTTGGGTGAATTGTTAATGCCTATGAATCTTATTTATCTCTAAAATGAATTTACTGATGGCATATTTCTCACAGAAATACTATTGTGTGAAAATTTAGTCGTCCTAGTGCTCATCACATAGTAAGTACTCAATACATATATTACCATTTTAATATTTATAACTCCTATGAATGCAAGCTCACAAGATCTTTCATTCCTTAACTACTAAAAGTATATTCATCATGATGTGGCAACTGTCTTTTATTAATTTTATCACTAATTATCATTTCAAACACATTTAAGGGCAGAAACATAGGTTACTGCACATAAAGGAGCTCACATGAACCTACCACAAAAGGAACATGCTGACATAGGAGAGAGGGACTGTCCGTATACTCAGATTTGGACCACAAAACCTAGATGTAAGCACTAAATATATGACATGAGGTAAATTACTTAACTCTTCAAATTTTACATTCCATAGATATACATGTTTTTATGTGATAAAATAGCTATGGGAATTGCATACTGAAATTTGGAGGCCTGGTATATAGTAACTACAGATTACTATGACTCTTCATGCTGATAGAGAGCTCATCTGTTTTGGTATCACTCTATCCTGATCACCTAGGGCAATAACTGGTATCTTTTAGATCACTGAAAAATATTGACTTTATAATAAATTGGTAACTTTTTTTAAAAAGCTGTAACCTCTGCACACAAGGGCTCTCTAGTGTTTCCTTGTCAATGACTGAACATCCCTTGTTCTCAATTCTTCCTAATTTCTCTTCAGGCTCTTTTATTCTTACACTTTAAATCCAGATGATGTCCCCATCCCAGGAAACAGTGTTTCCCTGGTATTAGCTGCTCCAAAGAGTGATCTGTAATCTATCCTTCACTTCTGCAGCTCCTGTTCACTTTTCAAATGATCCAATACAGTTTCTATATTATATGTCAAGTCTAACAAAATCAATACTCGCTTATCTGTCCAGGTCTCACTTCACTCACTGTTTGGTAATAATCATCTCACATTAATACTCTCTCCTCCTTGAAAAAATCTATTTTCCTTCACTTCCACACATCACACTCTCTTGTTTTTCCTCAACATCACAGGCATCCCTTCCCAGACCCTTTTGGTGATTGGCCCTAAGTCCTCTGGCTTTGATCCTTGTGCTCTTCTTATCTCACACACACACTCTCTCCCTACATGCCCCTCTACTTTCCTGGAATTTAAATAGTCACGCGTCAATGACACCAATGTATATACCCCTATCTCTGGCCTCCCTCTGAACTCCAGTCTCAACTTGAGCTCGTGACTATTTTCATCAACATTGAAAAAACATTTCAAACTTAGTAGACAAAACTTTACTCTTAACCACCCACTTCAATTTATTTTTATCCACATATTCCCTATCTCAACTAATAGCACTATCAAGTTTTTTCAAGTTATTTAGACAAAAATACTTAGAATTAACCTCATTTTTCTATTCCCTTGCCTATTTAATTCATTAAC